GTGTTTTCTTTTTTTGTTTTTATTTTTAGCAGCAAATTTGGAGTTACATATTGGTGCTCACCAGGAATGCATAGGCAAAATTGCACAAATTTTCACTTGAAAGAATAGTGGCGATCTTGGGATTTTTTTCTGTTCAATTTTCAAACTGTGTAAATTTAATACACTTCATCTTCAGCATGTTTAGTGCCACTTTTGTAAGTAACCACGCCCCCGTACAGGCCACGCCCCGTCCAGGCCACGCCCCTTCCGCTTTTTTCATCACTCGCCATTGCCATGTATGTTAAGTTCACATGTGAGTCAAGGCAGGTGAGCAAATACTTTTGCTTATCCAGTGATACCTCGCTACTTTGCGATTCGTTTATTGCGGCTTCAGTGCATCACGGATTTTTTCAAACATATTTAAAAAAAAACTATATACATATATATACTTGGAGTACAGTACTGTATATGTTGCTTGCAGCTTCTTGCAGACTTTTTGCGGACTAAAAGCTAAAAACTATCACTGGCACTATACAGTAATCCCTCGTTTATCGTTAATGGCGACCAAAACAACCCGCGACAAACGAAAATCCGCAAAGTAGCGACCAATTAACATATACAGGTAAAAAAAATATATATATATATATATATACACATATATATTTTTTTTTGGTTAAATTATTCATTTCCCCTTTGTGACTGAGTCTAGCCCTCTCTCCTCTGATCGCCCACCTGCATTGGCGTGCTAATTGTGGACTTCAACAGCCCTACGGCCAGGTGGCCGGCGCCTTTGTGCATAGGCATTTGGGGGTGCCGGATACGCGCCCAGACGTTTAGACGTGCCCAAATTAAATGAAATTAAATTGCTGCACTTTGTATGCAGCGATGGCTGTTTGAAAGTGCTCTATAAATACAGTTGAGTTAAAACATGACACAATTTTGCTCATAGATTTCTCTACAATGGACTCTCCAGCTTGTTGCTTTCAAACTAGCTTGTAGCAGACGTGTGCACATTTCAGCATGACGTCGTTGATCCACTGGTGAAAAGGGCACTTTGATTCACTTCATCTATAACTGCTTCAAACAAAAAAGTGGTTAAGATTGAGCGATTGTCTGTTTCTTCTGTGTTCTGTTGTATTTTGTCATTTATGTTAACTGTTCTTTTGATGGCGGTGTGGGCCCCCGCAGCGGCTCCTCTTGTTGTCTGGTTGAGAGGGAAGAAACATTTGACAATAAAGTTGTACTTGACTTGTAAGGTGTTTTGACCCCGAAAAAAACGACCATGTATAGTAAGGCGTTTTTAGCCCGAAAAAAACGACCGCAGTGGCGGACTCTCAGGGCCAGCAAGGCCTTCTCTGCTGGCCTAAACATTCTCAGAAAAGTACATTTATTTTTATGTATGTTATTTTATAATTTGTTTATTTTCATAAATATGTAAACAAAAGTATTCTCTGTATTCTTTACGTCATATTATTTCCACTTAGTTGAGGCTTTCAATGTTTTTTAAAATAACATTGAAAGCCAATCATAAATAACGTATTTATTGCGGTAGAGTTTTTAATCAATCATATTTCAGCTAGCTTGCGTTGCCAGGTAAATTAAACTTGCTCAGGGCCTTCAGATTAAACCGAGCAGGCCCCTGTGCGCTGTAAGTGAGCGGGCACAGTCAGGTTTCAATAGCCAATCAGATCACGAGTCTCGTGATCTGTATCCTGACTTGTTCTCGTCTGCGTACTAGGGCTAGCGAGAAGGCCTTACGTCGAGACTGGCCGTGCGCATTCGGTGATTGGATTAGCGCCGCCCGCGAGAGCTATCAATGCATTTTAACCCAAAATGGCTGAAGGAGAAGACGTTGATCTGGTTGCAGAACTACTTTCCACACAATTTTCAAGACGGACCTTCCACCAAAAGCTCGAAATTGTGCGGAGAGGTCCCCCAACTCCTGCGCTAGCTAACCTGTCCCAGCAAGGAAAAAGGTTTGTCCGTCGTTTTCAGACAAGCAATTATGAACGCTACCTGTGGCTCACAGCCTCTGTGAAACGCTGCAAATTGGACTGTTGGGAATGACTATTGCTTGCAACTGACCGATTTGGTGTTTGGAGCCACACTGGATTGTTTTACTTAGGCAGCAAGGAAACGGCTGGGCACTTACAAGCGACGGTGCGTTTAAAAACGTTTGGGAACACTCGCGTAGATCTGCACCTCAGTGAACAGGCACTACATTGGTGAGTAAATGCATTTTATTTTACATTTCTTGTCATTTTATTTCGTTAGTATTAAATTCACGGTAACGAAATAAAATGACAAAGATACAAAAATGTATCAAATCTGTTCACCTGCAATTTATAATGGCGCATTGTAGTCACCTTCGTGCATGAAAGTTCGTTCAATCTCAGCTGCTCAACATTTTCAGTTATTTGCTGTTGTATCGCCGATTTCCAAAATGCAAATGATCTGTTTATTTTCAAAGAATAGTTGGTTTTGTTATTGTTTTGTTGGTGTCTTATATGAAACTGCAACATTGCGCAATTTATTGGACAGACTTGTTTAAGATCACACAGCGTAATTTGGGTGGCATTTTATTTCCTATTTTTAAATCATCTTTTTATTTTTTAAGATAAGAAAAAGATCAGAAAACCTTTATTAGTCTCGCAATGGAGAAATTCCCAAATCACAGCAGCACAATACCTGGAAATTTTGTTTCCTGCTCTTAATTGGGAATACATACTTGATGGTTTTAAATGCTGCTGAAATTAAGTGCTGCTTGACGAGCCTATATTGTGTATGTATGTGACGTCACTGAAGGCCTAAGGTTGAAATGCACGGCCCCGCCACTGAAAAAAACGACATATCGTATATATAGTATGTCGTTTTTTTTTTGTGCCAAAAACGCCTTATGAGACTCGTTTTTTCGGGCTCAAAACGCCTTACTATCCATGGTCCTTTTTTTCGGGCTAATATTGCCTTACTACATACTATGTCGTTTTTTTCAGGCTCAAAACGCATTACTATACTATGTTGTTTTTTTTTTTTTTAGATAAAAATGCCTGACTACACATGGTCGTTTTTTTCGGGCTAAAAATGCCTTACTATATTATGTCATTTTTTTCGGGGTAAAAACGCCTTATGATACTATGTTGTTTTTTTTCGGGCTAAAAACGTATTACTAGACTGTTGTTTTTTTTGGGCTCAAAACGCATTTTTACCTCGAAAAAAACGACCATGTATAGTAAGGTGTTTTTAGTATGAAAAAAAAACGACATAGTATAGTAAGGCATTTTTGGCACAAATAAAACGACATAGTATAGTAAGGCGTTTTTGGCATGAAAAAAAAAAACGACATAGTATAGTAAGGTGTTTTTGGCAGAAAAAAAACGACATAGTATAGTAAGGCGTTTTTGGCACAAATAAAACGACATAGTATAGTAGGGCGTTTTTGGCATGAAAAAAACAACATAGTATCGTAAGGCGTATTTACCCGGAAAAAAACGACCATGTATAATAAGGCGTTTTTAGGTACGAAAAAAACGACATAGTATAGTGTGCCATTTGTAGCTGAAGAAAACGACATAGTATAGTAAGGCGTTTTTGGCAGAAAAAAAACGACATAGTATAGTAAGGTGTTTTTAGCTGAAAAAAAACGACATAGTGTAGTCAGGCGTTTTTGGCACAAATAAAACGACATCGTACAATAAGTCGTTTTTGGCATGAAAAAAACAACATAGTATCGTAAGGCGTTTTTAGCCCAAAAAAACCGACATAGTATAGTATGCCATTTTTAGCTGAAGAAAACGACATAGTATAGTAAGGCGTTTTTAGCACGAAAAAAAATGCACCAACAATTATTTTTCGCCAGGATGGTGTGTGAGTAGGCAGCTGTGAAGTGCTCTGCAAGAGCCTTGCGTTTGTTGTTTTTGTCAAATGGTGTGATGTTGTTGTGCATTTTTGACCAT